TTTACTAGTTCTTGTCGTAAGGTAGTGATCTGAAACCACTAGTCTCAGAGATGAAGATTATGTCGCCTCATAAACAGGGTCAACCCTGCGTTGCGCAAAGAACAACGAGGGGGTCGTATTCAGCCGACCGAAAAGGGAGGGGGTCGTATCCACAGACGGGCTGCAAGACGGCGGGCTGCAAGATGAAAGAGCTTGAAAAGTGCAGTGTCCGGGAGTGCACTTTCAGCCTCTAATGTTCTCCAGGAGCTCTGCACGCTGTCGGAGAGTCACACAGACATGAGCTCCATGGGAGCATTCAGCACTATAAGTCTCACCATCAGCTTATTATCCTTAATCGACGCTATCCGGACGGCGCTTTTGCTCCGCGGCATAGATCAAGAGTACAATAGCCAAAAACTTTGTTACAGTGTAGTGCAAAAACATGGTCTGTCTTCGATGACATTCCTGAAATCCCAAGGAGAACAAAGTGTAGAGCAGTTCATGGGGAAGTGAAACAAGAGTACCATATAACAGTACAATGCAACTCAATCACGATACTAACACCTTCTTCAGGAAAATGGAGGACTTTCAAATGCGAGTGCGACTTCTGCCACAGACAGGTGCACGGCGTATACCCGAGCAGGCGTTTTCCCATAAAAACGCCTTCTCTGTCAGCGGCCGTAAGCAGACAAACTTTCTGAAGAGAATTTCGATGCTTTCAAATCAAATCTAAGCGGAAAAAAGTGTAGCGAATTTGCTGAATTGAGTTCTAGAGACCCCTTAGGAAAATTGAGGCAGAAGAAAGAATTTCAGGAAAATTTCACAGTTGTTATGAAGTACTCTTCGAGTGGATTCCAACAATCTTTACCGCTTCTCATCACATTAATTTTGAAGGAAGTTATGGGCCTTTGCATAGTCGCGGTCCAGGAAAATGGCTTGAAAAAAATCAAGGTGGAAAAAACGGAACAACGGGACTATTTTTTGAGCGAGTGATTATTTCAAAAAGTTTTAGCACTTATTCGAAAGCTCTAATCTTCTAGTTTCTAATTAGCCTTAGACATCTGCAAAAAGTTATAACGTTTGAATGTCGAAAACTCGCGCCTTCTCAAAAATCGGACCACAAACCCCCAAAAACGGAACAACGGGACTATTTTTTGAGAGAGTGATCGCTGGAAAAAGTTCAGGTGCTTGTTTGAAAGCGCTTCTAGTTTCTAATTAGCCTTAGACATCTGCAAAAAGTTATGAAGAAAGTTATGAATGTTTGAATGTCGAAAACTCGCGTGTGCACAAAAAACGGAACAACGGGACGATTTTTTGAAATATTGAACATCCACAACATTTCAAATACTTTTTAGGAAGAAAACTATTTGATTTTTAAAATTTTGGTGTCCGGTTTCCATGAGACCGCTTCTGAAAGAAAATATAACCTTCTGAATGGAGGGGTTTGGATTGCAACGTAATTGCTACAAGGTTTAGTTTTTCAGATTATAAAATAAGGAAAATTGAGAGATCGAAAAAAACTTGGTAGGGTTTCTGAAAGTAGAAATCTTTGTGATTAAAATGATGTATTGGTTTACGCAAAAATTTGGAAATTCCTTCTATTTAATGAATAAAACTTCATTTGCCTCGATTCCCTCCTCTGAGCGAGACAAAGCGCGCGGATTGACCACGGTCCACCACTTCTCCATGTTGGTGACTGCCCACACATCATTGATGAGCATTAAATTATGTGAAAGACATGATAGTTAATATGGGGGGGGGGTCGTACCGATACCCCCCGAAAAGGAAGGGGGTCGTAAAAATTTTGGAATTTGCGCAACGCAGGGTTGACCCTGCATTGAACCTCCTCGTTCCAGAACACACTGCCTCGGTGAATCCACCTCGCGTCTCGCTCACTATCTCCTTGGCGCATCTAGGATGATCTCAGCCGCAATGCCCCAAGTCCGCTGCACTGCCTTTTCAGGTTTGGAGGAGCAACTTTCATTATTTTCCCCTTGAGGTCGCTTCGGCGCAGCTTCAACTATTGGATTCTCCGCTCGGTTGTTATCCTTGTCTTCTTGAGGAGATTTGTGGTAATGTTTGCTAGGAGGAGTCTGTGCTGGGGAACCATTCCTTCACAAGAGAGGACCTTGATGTTCTTCACAGTTGACATACAACTATTTGCTGGACGCTCTCAAGGGAGAGGCCTGAGAATCCATTATGAAATTCAAGGTTTCTAGTGACAATTACTCGAAAGCGATAGCGTGCCTTCTCAAGAAGTACAATAACAAGGAAACGCTAGTAAACCAGTAATTGGAATCGCGCGAGTTGCGTACTCCATCAATAAAGGATCAACGCTCTCTACTGGAGCAACTTCAAGCCATCATCATCCAATTGCGACAAGGGTGAGGACGTGAATAGCTCATAGCTAGTCAAAAGGGTATTGAGTTTCCGGATTTTACTAAATAGAAAGTTATCTCTAGCAGGCAAGGATTGCCGTGACATTGTTCATTATGGCTCATCTCTTCTAGATAATAGATGACACCCTATACGCAGAAGAGATGTTTCAAGTATCTGCGGAAAACCCATCTCCACCAAAGGAACGAAACCTTCATGGAAAAGGCCCAATATGTCAATAACGACCAGGTGTACGTACCCTAAAGGGGATCACTCACCTTACCAGTGCACCAAGAGTATGACACCTCAAGAGAGGTTATCCTATTTACGGTACGATAAGTTGTGTCTCATATGTGCGTCACCTAGCCATGTTTCTACCCACTGCAAAAGTCGTCTTCATTTTCCACGTAATGGGCCAAATCCCACATCATACGGGTATTAGGTTTGACTGCAGATATCAGGTTCACTCTCTCAAAAGCGGACCTCATCAAGAAACAAGAGTGGAACATCAGAAAGGAAGAGAGTTTCAAAATGGTCGCGGCGCAGTGCTCTGCAATGCAATTATTACCCAAGACACGTACAATACTGGACAGGAAGCGCCACTTCTTCCGGCACAGATGCGCAGCCCTCTCATTACTCCTGCTTACCCTCAGGTGAGATAACAATGACGGACCCTCACAAAAAATCCTCATTGAAGTGGACGTTCTTCTCGATACAAGAGCCGAGATTTCATTTCTAGACAGCAGCTTAGCAGAAAAGCTTCATCTACATATACTAGGTGGGAAGCAGATCAGACTAACATCTTTGGCACAAAGGAAGTAGAAGAACGGAAATATCAAAGGATACGTGTGGTTGTATGAGACCAAGAACGAAACCTACACCGTTTCGAGCTGACTGCCTATTTACCCATGCCCACCTATTTATTGAGATAATTTTTTCGTTCACGTGAGCGTTTCAACAATGGCTGAATTGGAAAGACGAAATTTCATTCTCCTCACGTAAACAAACTTTAATTGAACCGAACCTCTGCGTCCTCTTGTCTCCATGAATTTACCCTACTGCTAACAATTCGACAAAGTTGAACAATCAAACCTATTCATTAGATGTGGGAGTGAATACCATTACTACCGAACAACCTACCGACTTGACCTGAGAGGAAGAAAAAACGAATTTATGAAAGGCCCAAGATTAGAAGAAGTGTTGCAAGCTTTCAAACCTTAACGTTGTTGTAAATTTTAATACCTATCTTAAAAAATTTGAATACTCGAGTGAACCTATACTTTTGAGATGCCATGCCGTTCAAAAGAAACGAAAAGTATCTGCATTTTTAATTTTGAAATCAACTCACAATATACCTAAAGCTTTCT